CCAACGGTGGGCTTGGGGTACCGGTGGTCGCTGGACCTGGCAGGGGAGCTGCCATTAACTAAACAGGGTCGGCGGTACGTGGTGGTGATGATCGAGCACGTGAGCAAGTGGGTGGAAGTGCGTGCCCTGAGCAACAAGACTGCAGTGGCGTGGCGGAGGCCTTTGAAGAGCAAGTGCTCACTCGCTTTGGAGCATGCAGAGAGGTGCTAACAGACCAAGGCACGGAATTCCAAGGGGAGTTTGATGAACTGCTAGCTTCGTGCCTGATTCCGCACCGCACCACCTCCCGCTATCATCCGCAAAGTGACGGCCTCACTGAGCATCTGATTCAGACATTGAAGCGCGGACTGCGAACATACGGGGAGACTCAGAAACGAGACTGGGACAGGCATCTTCATTGGGTCATGGCGGGGTATCGCTTCAGCAAGCAGGCTGCGCCGAAGGACCTATCTCCTTACCATTTGGTCTTCGGGAAGGAAGCAGTGCTGCCAGTGGGAGCGCCACAAGTGCTGACAGACGTGGTCACTGCAGGATCACCGGAGAAGTGGGCAGTGCTGGTGGCGGTCCGCGGTGAGTACCTTCGTCGTTTGCTGCCAGCGGCATTGGAGAGCCTGCATGTGGCTCAGCTGCGTGACATCCACTGGTACAAGCAGCGCCAGGAGCAAAGGGCTGGCGGAGCGCCCGCAGCCTTGCAGCAGGGACAAGAGGTTTACATCTGCCGACCTAAGAAAGATGGCCTGGACGTGGGACTGTCGCATCAGCAGTGGACAGTCAAGGAAATTCGAGACTCAGGGGTGCTGGTCCTGGAGAGTGAGGCTGGGGTCTAGGCGGTGGATCATGTCACCAACGTGGCGAGGGCTGGAGCTGACACACCGGCGTATCAGGGTCCCGTGACCAGGGTGAGGGCAGCTAAGGGCCATGGGAGGGGGCAAGGTGGTACCAATAATGGGGAACAGTGAGGAGAATCAGAAGCAGGGAAGGAGGCAGGAGGAGAACCAGAGGAAGGGAAGGACCAGAGAGAGGAGGACAGAACTACGTGGGTCGAGACAGGCAGGTACAAGAAGGTATCAATCACAAAGAGCAGTAAGGGGAGTCCAGAGCAAGGCACACAGAGGGAACAAGAGGTAGCAGGTGAGAGGGGGAGTGATGGGAAGAGGCAGGAAGAATCCAGAAAGGTAAGGGAATTTCCGACAGCTGTCGCGAGTTAGCTTGAAGAAGGAAATGTGTACATACTGTATATTTGTACAGTACTGAGAAGAGGCTAATACCGAGGACTGGGAAGTGGGGCAGGGATGCAAGGCTGGCGCATGGCAGGGTGAACAGGTTGGGGCAGAAGGCAGGGTGAGGGAAGGAGACGGGGTGACAGCTGGAAGGCGCTGCATTGTTTTGTGTGCGTGTGCATGTTTGCTTTCTTGCAGGTTGTGTGCCCGAGCCAGCTGGAGTTACAGCCAAGAGCTGGAGGTTTGGCAGTTGGATGGCTAAGTGCCAGTGGCGAGTGAAAAGGGAGGTTGGCTCTTTGCTACCAGTAATGGGGAACAGGTACCCACGATCACATTTCTTGAGTTGGGTGGAAGGGAGTGGTAGGTAGTGAAGAGGTCACGTCGTGGTACCATTCCTGCAGTGGCACCAGATTCTAGAACAAGGTGATTAGGGTCAGCCAACACACGACCAGCAAGCACCGTCTCCTTCTCCAAGGTAAGGAAGGCGAAACTGTCATCCGACGAGTCATCATTTCCCTTCCCACCATCATTTGCCGCTGCTGCTGCCAGTTTTCCTTTGTTGCACTTCTTGTTTCAGGCTCCATTCTTCATCCTCCTCTCCACCCACTAAGGCCTAGTGACAGGTGGAGCCTCTCCTGGGTACCCTTGAGGCTTCCACCCATCTGGCCGGCTCCAACACTCCTTCCAAGAGTGCTTCCGGTTGCATCCAGGGACGAGACACTTGTCGAGCTCCCTTTTCTTCCCCCCACCTCCTTGCCCTACTGGTGCTTCTTGAAGGTAGGCCTATCACGTGCTCCCATTCCCCCTTCAACTCCTCTACCAGCATCACGCTTGCGAGCCTCATCTGAAACCAACACCTCCCATATCCAGGCCTTGGTCCATTTCTGCTGCTCTAGGTAGAAGGTATTGTAGTAGAGCCTCGTTTGCCTCTTGATCCAGCCCCTGGAGTGCGATGTAGATGATCTCCTTCTCATCTATAGTGTATTTCAACTCCTCCAAGGCCCTCACATACTCATCCACCCTCTGGAGGTACTGCACCATGGACTCCCCATCGCCATAGTTGCGTTCCATGGTGTAGAACCGCATCCTCCATATGAGTATGCTCAGCAGCCCCTTTTGCAGATGTCGATCTTGAACTCTCTTCCATGCTTGGGCAGCTGCTCCTTGGTTCCCCTTCAGATCAATCAGCATCTTTAGGAGCTCTAGTTGGTCTTCCAAGGCCCAGCACAGGTACTGGAACGCTTGCTTATCCTTCCGGTCCCATGCTTCCTGTGCCTTAAGAAGCTCCTCCGCACTAAGCCGTTGCCTTCTGGTTCACTTTGCTGCTGTTCCACCATCGCTTCCCTCACGTATGGATAAGCTGGAGGCTCCCCCAGCCCCTGCTTCCACTTGGCTAGACACTCCAGCAGATGCCTCTACTTCATCAGCTTCATGTCTTCGCTCCGATCCCTCCAAAACGCCCTCTAGGTCTTTAATACCTAGCCAAAGCGTAAACTGGAACCACCATTGCGAAACATCCAAGCCGGTAAACCTAGAAGGGCCATCTAATTTCTGGGCCATGACCAACCTTGGATCTGGAGGTCCTTAAACCAATTCGACATATGATAATAGGAGGGAATGTCGCTGGCCTAACCAGCTCTGATACCACTGATGAAAGCGCGCGAATCTAGAGAGCGTGACAAGAGATGAAGTCCGCCGACTTCGACGGAACATTGCGTGCAGCTCACGTAACCTTAAAATATGAGCAGGTACGCGTTGGAAAGGTCTTAATCTCTACGTTCCAGAATGGTAACGCACACGTTCAACCAAGATCTCGGCCGATCGCTATCGCGATGTATGTGCGACGGGGTATCCTGGTGGAATCACTTGGCAGCCATGGATCAGATCTAGGAATCGCTATAGCAAGAGTTCAGATCTGCAAAAGTGACAAGTTTGTCAAACCCTACCAACCCAACCCTCGCCCTACAACAATCGCTAACAAACCAAAGTGCCAAACTAGCAATACCAAAGGTGTTATAGTGAATAGCAAAGGTGTGTTGGTGCTTGTTGGGTGCGAGTTCAATTCCAGCCCGCAACAAGTCTAGCAATCACATTTGCCCAAACCCTTAGCCCACAATCAGCTTGAGAAAAAGACCACAACCACCTACACAAGCAATAGGATCATTGGGATAATTGTGGAGGGTGTGGCGGGACGATCTTGGGATGTGGTGGGGAAAGTATGGGGGATGTGGGTTGGGACTGGGAATGTGCATCATTAGTGCCTGCCATGTGTTATGGTGCGTAGACAAGAAGACGGTGCTGGAGAAAAGAACCTCGACCTGGCAGGGTGATTCTGGAGATGGAGCCAACAATAATTGCCAATAGAGTCGCCATGCGAGGAGCCGATGCCGACCTGCCTCTTTGCGAACAGGTGAGGCAGTAGTGTGTGGCACTTGGAATTAGACAATGAAGAGTGAGGTGAGTGAATAGTGCATGGCACTAGTCAGAGAATGATTTGTTTTCTAAAACTGCACAAAAACAACACCAGTTGGTTATGAGCTGGTGACTTCACCTCCTTTTTACACGCACTCTCTCTACCCGTGGCCAAGTGTTCCATTGCTTGGTCATGCAATGCTGCATTTAGAATACATTGTGTCAAGCCCAACCCACCATTTGTCAACTAGCTGATAATTCCTCCTTGAGTTTCCCACTTTGTCTGTCGTTTTATTTGTATGTGTGTCCGTGCATGCGCGAATGTGCATTTTTGTGTGAGAGTGTGCATGCGATGCGAGTGTGAGTGATGAATGCGTGTGTGTGGCTGTATGTGCATGCATATGCCCATGCGTCTCTGCGTCTTTGTCAATGTGAACGTATGTGCTTTCCCCTGTCAATCTCCCAAGCTTTGGCAACGGCAAATGATCATCTCGCCCGCTCGTTGCTCAAATAGCAACTCATTGTCAATGTATTACAAATCTAGTTGCATCCACATGCTATCAGTTTGTGGCACATGCACCTCTATCTAGAGCAATGCACTTATATCCAGTCCTAGATTCTAAGCATAGGGATTTTTTTTTCTTGTTTTATTATAAGCTCATCCCTTATATGGTCTTGAAATCAGAATTCTCTGTTCTCCCCATTATTGACAATGGTTTACTATATTGGCAGGTTTATGTTAGGACTCCCCCTTTTGGTATAGACTTTTATGTCAAGTATGTGCTCACTGCATTAGAATATGAAGGATATATTTTGTAAATCAGACGCGTTCCAAGTGTTAGGCGCGAAGCCTGATGCATTCCACATGTCAACGGGAGAACTTTGCCATGAGAAATTCTCCAACTTTACAGATTGAATCTTGCCCTTAGACTGATGATTAAATATATTTTTGGGGCTTTTGTAGCTGATGACTGCTGCTCAAGTACATGTCTTGACGTAAAAACGCATTATGGTAGCAATTTCGACCTAGAACCTGGTGACTAGAGAGTTCAAACGCATCGTAAACGCGACTTGTTCTGACAAAAACATCTTGAAACTCCGTGCGAGTCGCATGTAATGATAGCACGGGCACGGGATGGCGGCGGTGGACTCTCTGGCTGCCCTGCTCACAAAGGTATATCTGCTTCATTCAACTCTTCCCCTCCCATCACCTCTCGCCAATATTTTTCCTTGCCATGCTTCCTACTCCACATTCCAATTCCTCGGCATACCTTCGTCTGCACCAGCACATTGTGCGGGAGCTTTCTTTACAAAGAAGCCATGGACACGACGACCGTTCCGCCTGAAGGGCCTCGAGGTCTGAAACGAATGAAAGGCGTACTCCAGCCGGGCAAGGATTTCATCAACCGTCTGCCCGACGACGTGCTCTTTGCAATTCTCGGACGCGCCTTTCCTAGCAAGGTGATGCGCCACACGCTCGTGTGCCGCCGGTGGCTGCGCCTGGCGCAACACTTGCAGCAGGCCGTCATCGTCAACTCCGGGCGCAGCCTCCACGCGGGCGAGCTGTTGCGCAGCTTGGTGAAATTCCCCAGCGTGACTTCACTCACGCTAGACTACAAGAGCGTCGATTTCTTCAACACCATGTTCCTGAGAGCCTTGCCGTCCGCCTGCCCGCAACTCTCCTGCCTGCACCTGGACGAGCCGCAGTATACCAGCGCGGCGCACTTCCGCATCACGCTGCCCTGCCTTCCTTCTCTGGGTTCCGTGCCTCAAGGAGCTCACACTCGATTGCAGCCTCGGGTACATGGCAACGCTACCTTCCTCGCTCTCATCGCTCTCGTCAATTTGCGTGCTCAAGCTCAGCATGTTGCACCTCCGCGTTCTTCCCGAAGAGTTTGGCGCGCTGCGTGCGCTGGAGGAGCTTTACGTCAACTGCCCCAGGCTACATGGACTTCTTGCGTCCGTCACGCGGCTCACACGGCTGTCCCGCATCTGCCTAACAGACTATTGCGCGATGCGCCAGCTGCCCGCGCAGGTCGGCGTGCTGAGCGCACTAAGGGTGCTGCAAATACACGGGTGGAACCGTCTGCGGGGCATTCTGGAGAGCATCGGCGTGCTCAAGGGGCTGCGCCGCCAAGATCTGCGCAACATCCGTTGCACGCTACTCGACGTGGGGGAGGAGTGTCGCAAGCTGGAAGAGTTGCGCATGGAGAACGTCCACCAGGGAGTATTCCCGCCCATCTCCCTCGAGTCCTTCGCGCTCCTCACCATTCTCCACTGCCGCAGCCTCCGCGCGCTCCCCGACAACATCGGCACGGCGGCAGCGCTCTGCGAGCTCGAGATCGTCGACACACTGATCGTCGAGCTGTCCGCGTCGACTGAGATGCTGACGTCACTAGAGTGGCTGGTGCTGGCACCGAGCAGAAAAGTGAGAGCGCTGCCGCCCATGCTGCTGGCGCTGCCGCGAGTGGCGCTTGTGGTGCTGAAGAATATGTCGTGCCTTGCTTCGATGACGGAGCATGGTGCGGAGGCGGATGAACGTCGCCTGCCACCCGTCGCGCGCCTCTTGTCGCTGCAGTCCTTCTCCCTCTAGAGCTGCTACCTCTTCACCCAATTCTCTCCCCACCCTCGCTGCGATCGCGCCCTCGTTGCGCGCGCTCACGCTCGCCGACCTCCCCGCGTTCTTCTCCTTGCCCACTACGGTCTGCCGCCTCACCGCGCTCACATCCCTCTCACTCCTCGGCCTGCGGCACCTCAAGTGCCTCCCCCTCGCGCTCTCCGCCGTCCGCACACTCAAGATCACCGGCACGCCAAAGCTCGCGGCACTTCCCGAATCTCTGCTCCAGCTGGCAGCGCTCGAGTCGCTGGCGGTCGACGACTGCCCCACGTTGCGGAGCCTCCCCGCGATGATATGCAGCGAGGCGCCGCGGCGAAGATTGGCGCCGGGCTCAGCGCGCTGACACATTTCAGCGTCACCAAGTGCGCCGCGCTCACAGCGTTGCTTGATTCCCTTGGCCAGCTGGGACGCTTAAAGACGTTGATTATCGGGAGCGCGTCGATTGTGTCCCTCTCGAACACTCTGAGCGGGCTCACTTGCCTCAAAGAGCTACTCGTCTCCGACTGCCTCCTCCTCGCTGCGCTCACCGCGACCCTCTGTGCCCTCCCCCTTGTCACAGGATCGAATTCCACTCGAGAATGTTGCACTAAAGGTGAGTACAAGGCGTATTTATACTCAGAAATACATAGAAACAACAGATAATCCGAACCTTCGGGAACGCGCTCTTCTAGAATAGATAATCACAAGTGCGCATAAGCACGCAAGCCCATTGGCACTTTGGATTATGGCGAGATTACGCCTTGTACACCACTGTCGGTGCTGTCGGTGCCGTATAATGTAAATGTCGGTGCCGAAAATACCAAATAAGTGAAATAATCAGAAAGCTCTAGAAAATAGAATAGTAGTCCGATTGAGGTGAAATAAAGTGCAAATGAAAGAGGAAAATAAGGAGAATAAGATGGAATAATATGGAAATGAGAAATATGTCGAACGTCGGCGTACTCTCACACTTCCCCCCCTCAAAGCTAGGTGGTAGATGTAACACCCTGCTTGACAAGATAGTCGCGGAGAGAACGTCGGGCGTTACTCATGTCTTCTTCAGAGACCCAGTTGTCCTCAGAAGGATCATAGCCTTTCCAGCGTACGAGAAACTCCAGGGCGCCATGCCGACGACGACGATGTGCAAGCACTGATTCAACCTCGTACTCAAGTTCATCATTCACGAGGACTGGAGGCGGCGGCGGAGGTTGGCGTCCCGTGTACAGCTTATTTGGATCTTGATAGGGTTTAAGAAGCTGCACGTGGAAGGCGTTATGAATCTTCCAAGAAGCTGGTAGGCGCAAGCGGAATGTGACTGGAGTGACCTGCTCTTCTACGAGGAAAGGTCCGCAGAAGCGAGGTCGTAACTTGGATGGAAGGTGACCGAGGTTGAGGTTGCATGTATCGAGAAGCACATGGTCACCAACCGCAATGGTATGATCACGTCGATGGCGATCGGCCAAGCGTTTCTGTGAAGACTGTATGTCCTGTAGACGCTTGTGTGTCCGATCCCAAAGCTGCTGCATTGTGGTAACGAAGTCTTGCGCGGGTTGGACAGTTGCAGGTACTGTCGGCTGTTGTGGAGTTAGTGGATGTCGTCCGTAACAGAGGAAAATGGGGTCTCTCCTATTGCGGCATGCTTCGCATTATTGTAGGCGAACTCCAACACCGGCAAGTGCAAGTCTCACTTGTTAATGTCGTCCTTGCACGCTGCGCGCAAGAGTTGTTCCACAATTTGGTTCAAGCGCTCTGTCTGCCCATCGGTCTGGGGATGATTTGCAGATGACATTGCTAGGCGTGTCCCCATGAGCGACATGAGCTCTTTCCAGAACTTGCTAGTAAACTTGGGGTCCCTGTCGGATATGAGGGTTGTTGGGATCCCGTGCTGTGAGATGATGTGTTTGAGGAATAGCTGTGCCGTTTCCTCCGTGCGTGCGGTTGTATGTGCCGGAATGAAGTGTCCCATCTTTGAGAATTTGTCGATGACGACCAGGATGGCGTCATGCCCCGCGTTGGTAGGTGGTAAACCGGTGATGAAATCCAAGCTGACCACTTGCCAAGGCTGTTCCGGGACGGGTAAAGGCTGAAGAAGTCCTGCTTTCTTTTGCTTACTGCTTTTCATCCGCTGGCACGTATCGCACGAAGTGACAAACTTTTGCACGTCGTTTGCCATGTGAGGCCAGTAGTAGACTTTCGCAATCCCGGCAAGAGTCTTGTTACTCCCGAAGTGTCCAGCGTAGAGCACGTCATGGAATTCTTCGAGAAGCAACTGCCGAAGAGGCGGGTAGTTGGGTACCCATATCTTTGTTGATCCTTTGCGTAGTGCGACGTCGTGGTCCCACTGCAACAATTTCTTTTTCTCTGCTAAGGGAATCTCGGGGTCGATGGTATACCCGTACGTGAAGAGTCCCTTGAGTAGCGGATTCATCCCCTCAATCGGTATGGCGGCAACGTGTCCAGGCCGGCTCAGTGCGTCTGCCTTATTCTTGTGTCCCGACTTGTACACGATGTCGTAGTCGAAGTGCGTCTCGAGGAAGTCAATCCACCTGACTTGTCGTCTGGAGAGGGTCGGCTGCGTTTTCAGGTATTTTAGGCTGCAATGGTCAGTGTAGACCGTGGTCTTTCTCCCTTCGATGTAGCATCGCCATGTCTTGAATGCCGTGATGATCGCTAAGGCCTCTTTGTCGTGAATCGGGTAGTTGAGTTCTGCCCCGTGCAATTTCTTGCTGAGGTAAGCGATTGGTTGTAGTCCTTTCCCTTGGTCTTGCATCAAGACTGCTCCAACTGCTTGGTCACTAGCGTCAGCTTCGATGACGTAGTTTTTTTCTGGATCTGGCAGGATCAGGACGGGTGCGGACGTGAGTGCGGTCTTCAACTGCTCCATGGCTTGCTGGTGCACATCCTCCCACTTGAACGGTGTATTCTTCTTCAGTAGATTGGTGAGAGGTGTTGCAATCTTCGCATACTGTGGCACGAACCGATTATAGTAGTTCGCAAAGCCAAGGAATTGCTGAAGTTCCTTCACGTTCTCCGGTGTCTTCCATGTACGTACGGCTTCGATCTTCTTTGGGTCGACATGGACTCCTTGAGCGCTCACCATGTGTCCAATGAACTGAACTTTCTTCAAGGCAAACTCGCTCTTGGATAGCTTGACGTAGAACTTCTCCCGTCGAAGTATCTCGAAGACACGTCGTAGGTGTTCGATGTGCTGCTTCATGTCCCTCGAGTAGATCAGGATGTCGTCCAGGTACACCACCACACATTCGTCGAGTAGAGGCCTAAGAATATGGTTCATTTCGGCCTGGAATGTAGCGGGTGCGTTGGTGAGTCCGAACGGCATGACGAGGTACTCGTAGGATCCGTATCGTGTCCGAAACGCTGTTTTATGGATGGAGTTATCCGCCATCCGGATCTGCCAATATCCCGATCTCAAATCGAGTTTTGAGAATACTGTGGCTCCACGAAGCTGGTCAAGTAGATCGTCGATCCGTGGAATCGGATACTTGTTCTTGATCGTCTGCTTGTTGAGGGCTCGGTAGTCGATGCACATGCGTAAGCTTCCGTCAGGTTTTGGTGTGAAAAGCACTGGTGCACCGTATGGTGATGTTGATGGTCGAATGAGTCCTTTGTCCAGAAGGTACTCGATCTGCTTCTTCATGTCGGCCAACTCGGTAGGGCTGAGTCGATATGGTGCTCGGAAGGTCGGTTTTGAACCAGGTTCTTCGATGATCTCGTGCTGGTGGGTTCGGTATGGCGGCAACTGGTCTGGAAGGTCGTCAGGGAGAACGTCTTCGAACTCTTCTAGAAGTTTCTAGATTGCTGGTGGAAGCTCGAGCGTTTTTCTCTCTCCTTCGTCCTCGTTGGTAACCAGTGCAACAAACCCTGCCATGGTTCGCTTCACGTCCTTCTCGAAGCGTGCGAGAGTCTCCTCCGGAATATCTCCCGTGTTGCTCCAATTCGGAAGAGGAACTTTTCTGTCTTGATTGTAAATACTCGCCGTGTGGGTGACCCAGTTGATCTCGGGGTTGAACTTCTTCAGAAAATCTCTCCCAAGAATCAAGTCTAGCCCTTTGATGTTGGTGACGGGTAGAGTCGGTTTCCAGCGAAGAGGACCCATCTGCAGGTGTAACGCTGCTTCGCCGTAGACTTGTAATTTGCTTTCGTCAACCATCGTAGCTGTGAAGTTTGAAGGCGTGTACTTCTCATTGATGCTTTCGAGGGTTGCTTTGTCGCATACTGAATGGGATGCTCCGCTGTCCACGAGTACTTGGAGGCGTCGTCCATTGCAGATCACCTCGAGCAAAAGTGGTTGGCGTTGCTCGTTGTACCCGTTGATCATCTCGTTGATTGGATCACAGGGCATTTCCCATAGCTCTGTGTTTTCTCCTGGGGTGGCAGATGGCCGGTCCTGCCGTCCCCTATTGCCATGATTTTTTGTTGTCGTCGACGACGTGGTTCTCGAGCTCGTAGTAGAATTCATAGATGGGGTAGATACCGTAGATGTTTCAGATGTTGCAGATGCATCTGTAGAGGAGGTTTGAGGTCGTCGCAGCTTCATGTTGACCTCCAGCTCCCTCTTGAGCTGCTTCAGCGCCACCGACTTCTTCCGTGGGGACCGGTTGGTCGACGTGGGCTGGTTTTTCAGAGAGAGGACGATGTCGTCGTTGGAAGGTCGATCTTCCACGCTCCGTTGTTGGTTCCCCATGCGCAGCTGCTGTAGTTGTCGTACCGGTACATTCTTTTTCTTCTGGAGCCTCTCTCGCGATTTCACAAAGGCCGTAGACCCAAGGGATTTTTTTCCAAGTAAAGCATCCTTGTATGATATTTTGAAGGGGTGCTTACTTTTTATAGGGCCTTTTTGGAGTTGTCCAGGTCCAGCAGGGTCTTGTGTCGCGGAGATTTTATTTCCCTCGGCGATTTTCCCTGGTAGAGTCCGTTCATGGTTTGAAAAATTCACTCCACGATCCTCCAATATTCGCATTAAATCTGCTCCACTGCTGCGGTCCCTAAGCGCTGAACGTGCAGTTTTCATTTCGTCACAATCGATGAGTCGATGTCCGGGCTTGCCGCAGAAAGAACACTTAGATTTGTTCTTCTTTGGTCTTGCCTTCGCGTCGATTCGATCGAGTTCCATCAGGTCGGCGTACATGGGGTTAGCCAAGCGTCCTCCATGTCGTCTAGCTCGTCCATGAAGTCGTCGTGTTCCGATCGTGGTTACGTCGAAACGTTCCGCTGCCGAAACGACGTCGTTGTAGCTGCTCCAATTTGCGGCCGCATCATGTTGTCGTGTTTCTTTTTTCAGCCCCGCGATAAATGCTCTATTTTTTTCGCCTTCCGTGACGTCGGGGATGCGGTTGAACAACT